ATAAATAAGTAATAAAGCTTTATCAACATTTTGTGGGTAAAGTCAGCATAGTAGATAATCTAGTAGATAATCTTATCTAGCGGTCTAAGTGAACAACATATCTTCGAGTGGCCGCACAAAAGGAGACATAACAAAACAATCGATCAACGCTTCGCATTTGATGAACTCGTTACGAGGAGTCCCCTCAGGCGCGGTGCTTTTGGTTTACCTCACGAATGGGTCTCTGAAAAAAGGAGAAATGCTCGAGCTGAAACATGCGGGGCGAAAGATGACAGCTTCTGACGTTGGAGTCATGCACCCTAATTTAACGCCGCTCGATTCCCTACACCGAGGCCAGGTGAGCAAAAGCATATAATCTATAATGGAATTCCACGAGCCGTGATATGAAAAACAGTAGTGGAAAATATATTTCACGACTACTACTTATCACCGCGAATATCGCGTTTTTCGTCAAGTATTACGCCATTTCACGTGAAACGGGTGAAACTCTAATGCATCTACTATTATTCATATATCCAATACGATTATATCATGCGTATTGGAAATTAAGTGATTGAATATCACCTAGTTATTAGGGACTAGATAGATATTGCATGGATCTTATACAGTGCGTGTGAATTTGATATGCAAATGTGTGTTATTTTTCCGAGATTAAACTATACCGCATATACAATGTAGCAATGGCTATGAACATGTGTTGTGATGAAAGTACCCGTTTGGGACTGTGATGATAGCGACAACTTGTTCACTATAATTTGTCCTACAAAATAACACACATTTGCATATCAAGTTCACACGTACTGTATATTATTTGTAATCTTCTAGAGATAAAAATATTTATTTTGTATTACTGTAATCCTCTACTTCAATGGGTATTCAGCTCGGGTACATTACGTGTAATCGAAACCAAGATATTCGAGGGCTCCGAGTTGGTGACACGATCAGCAGAGTTGGTGACACAGTTGATGTGTTTCCTGGCTTTCAACCGGCCAGGAGTATGGTGTACGCAGGTGGGACGTGACGGGAGGAATTGTGGTTACACGCGTGTTTTCGAATTCTCTATGAATCGCCATGTGTTTACATCATCATAATCATAACGTGCAAGTAGCATGCAAGGCATCTTCTCGCCAAGTAACGCTCTCAGCTTCGACAACTCGTAACGTGGTGACGCCGATTCTCGTGTCACCCCTGAACGCGAAATTTGAAGGCGCAAGAGATATGTTTTCTTTTCATTGACGGCTTTTTTTTCAAAGGAGTATTCCCCGTCACCACAGACGACAGCGAACGCCTCGAGCCCGCCATGAATCGGCTGTCCCTCAGCGACTCCAGTCTTGAATACAAGAAAGTGATCAGTCAAGCTCTAGGTGAGAACAAGGTCACTGTGAATGCGATAATTACAAACGCTGGAATATAGGTTTGGTTCCCTCAGCTGAGTTTTTAATTTTCCTCGCTGAACCTTGAAAATCCACATGCGTTTTTTGGTAGAAGTGTAGAAAAACCAGCGATAATTTCCCGAAATTTCCTCAGAATTTCCATATTTTTATTGACATATGTAGTTGACCATGTGCATATATTCCCATACTGATCATGTTCTTCGTCAGCCCGAATACGTCATCAATCTTCGAGATGTCGCTAGAAAGTGACCAAGCAGTTGAGACCGCGTATAAACTCGTCACTGGAAAAATGAAATTTTTAAAATTTTGAATGCATAAATTCTCATAGGAACGCCCTCATACTTTCTCAACAGGCACTGGGTTCCGATGCGGTTTCCTCGGACTGCTGCACATGGATGTCATCAAGCAGCGTTTGAAGGCCGAACACGATGTTGATGTGATTCTCACTACTCCCACTGTTCCCTATACGTTCACGCCTATGAATCCCCGAGCTGATGGCGTCAATAACGACATTGTAAAAATCGTCATTTGATCGTCCGCAGTGATCATCTTTGCAGATCGTGGATTCAGTAGACGAGTGGCCTAAGAATCCAGTGGGAACTTGGAAAGAACCTACTGTTGAGGGTAGCGTCCAAAATTGTCGCGCGCCACAAAATTGCTCGTCGTTCAGGCACCTTTGTCTCACCGGTTGCTTACGCCTCTGATATAATTCAACTTTGCTATAGTCGCCGAGGCGTGCAGCTCTCGTATGAGCTCATCGATCCGACACGAGCGATGTTCAAGTTCGAGCTGCCCTTGTCAGAAATCATAGTTGATTTCGCTGACAAGATTCTCCAACTCTCGCACGGATATGCATCGTTTGTTTACGAACATCGCGGTACTCGTGATACCGATCTGAGAAAAGTGGAAATTAAAATCAACGGCGATCCCGCTGAAGCTCTGAGTTTTATTTGTCGACATGACGCAATACGGGAGGTAGCAGGGAAGATGCTGAGAAAACTTAAGGAACATATTTCACCACATGCGTTCGAAATCAATCTACAACGTTGCGTCGGTGGTAAAGTTTTGGTATCTGAGAAAATCGGCAAGCAAAAGAAGAGCGCGATCGCGAAGGATCACAGCGTTGCGGGTGATCCGACGAGGAAGATGAAGTTGATAAAAGAAGCTAAAGAACGCGAGAAGAAGTTGAAGCAAATTGGAAGAATAAAAGTTCCACCAGAAGCTTTCATGCAGATTGTGAGACTCGACTGATGTTTTTCTGTTTGTTCAACGAGAGTTGTGTTGCTGTAGTAGGAGTGGTGAAATCGACGAATTCAAGAAAGTCGAGTAAGTGATTGTTAGTGGGCACTTTCTGATCATGAACTTGAACCTTGACATTCTTAAAGCCCCGAGAACCTCAGAGAGGCTATTGGCTCTTGAATTGATGGAAACACTTGACCTGATGTGGGCATTTATGTTGACTTCTTTTTTCGGATAGAACTTGGATGTCAATATGGTGAGCTCAGCAATAGCTCGTAAGTTTGCCCACTAAAGGTCCGCGAGCGAGTTACACCGACATAGTGTTGTTACAACACTGTTATAGATATCACACACGAGATACTCACCAGAGATCACCCAAGCAAGGGTACGCTACGGAGAACATAACCTCGCTGGTGTGATATATTAGACCGTTCCGACAATCTGTCTTGCTTGGGAACGAGTGCAGTCCGTGGAGGACACCTCTGGAGCAATAAGAGAATGAATAGGCCTCTTTCGATTGACTTTTGTGTACAGGCTCGGTTATAACTTCAACTAGGTTACTCATCCCAGTTGCCGAATTCGGTAACCTTCTTGCATCCTCTTATCCGTTCACTCCGTCTCATTGATCATTTGCTTCTTTAGTTCAATATTTGAGATTACTTCGTTAACATGTTGTATATCAGAGTGTTTGCCCGAGTGGTTAAGGGGGTGGACTTAAGATCCACTAGACATGTTTTGCGTGGGTTCGAACCCCACAGCACTCATACTCATCGACCTATTCGTTCACATGCCTGGTCGACGGGATGCATATAGAACTACATGCAGTGAGACTATCTGATGACTTGGCTTGACTATGGTGATGAGCTAAAGTTCTTCGCCGTAAGGTCATGCATGGCTCATGAAATGGCCACTCCTTCCCACGCAAGGTGTGGCCTGATCTCCTTCGCTCGTCCACAGTCTTCATTTGGCTCGACGGGACGCATTTCGATAGACTGAATCCCTAATAAAATCCGCATGGTATTACTCATATCATGTGAGAGAGGTTCAAATGTGGAGTAGAAGAGCAATCCGCGTAACGCGGACCGCGTCGCGATCTCAAAGATCTGAGGATAGTGACGTCACGTCTCTTATGACCTAATAGTATCGCGTCCCCCAGGCCTGGCAAGCGTCCGATAGACCTCAATAACTTCACGAGCAACTTTAGGGGATAATATTCAAACATGTCAGAAGCATGATGAGGCTAGGCTTTGCTGTCGGCGTTGGACTTCAAACCGAACTGGGTGCACCGACCAGGCCCATCAAACCCGAATCGAATTTCCCGGTGTTCACCACCCGACATGCTGCTGCATGTTGGGCACAGAAGTCCTGACCGACCTATCGCATCAATTATTGAGCGAATCAGATGGTAGTGTAGATCCTCAACTATACGATATCCGCGCCGCTAGTCTAAAGGTTATGACATCTGTCTGTCAAACGGATGATCCGGGTTCAATTCCCGGGCGGCGCAGTATTTCCGACGATCGGTAGTGTTGTGCAACATGTGGAGATGGGCATGAAGTACCTCAACTTACACGAAGTTATGCACCACTCGCAGGGAATATTACATTTCTGCACACATCAGTCTCCTCTGAGCCGCACGACGAGGCTAACTAAGCCCTTCTGTCGATGTTGGACGTTAAGCTCACACACAGCAATACCATTCAACTTGTAATTTTCTCGAATCATGGCCAGTGCAGGTTACGAAACGTTAGCCAACATCTGGGACATCTGGAGACGGTGCACCAAACGGACTTGCCCATCCCGAACCGGAATTCCAGATTCTTACCACCCGGCATGCTGCTGCGCGTTGGGCACAAAACAAACCCCCTTGAGCGCAACCTACTTCGAGACTTACTGAGCGGATCATAGCGTGGCGTGGATACGCAACACCTCAATATCCGCGCCACTAGTCTAAAGGTTATGACATCTGTCTGCCAAACGGATGATCCGGGTTCAATTCCCGGGCGGCGCAGTGTTTATGAGTGTTGCGTTAAAGAGTTCAGATTCACACTGCAACTTCACAATTTCAAGCAGGAGACCGCAGCCTTGGTTATGTCAGGCCGCGGGTTCCAACTTCTCCTCTAACTCCAGGGACTGTGGGATTTCACAAGATCCGAGACTGGTGAGCACTTCGTGTTTGCCGTGTATATGAGCACCATGCAATTCGCACTCGATAACACAATCTCTCACGGATTTGGAAGAGACGTTGTGGTTAAGATACGTAAGGAACACGATAAGCCTAGCGGATACATTCGCTTTAGACTCGGCCCTTGTATCGGAACCTCTGGGTGTACCTGATATAAATTGCATACGCACTGAACGACCTTGTGGAGCTTCAGTTATACATTTGAAGCATCCGCTTGACCTTCTCTCGGGACGAGTCGCTCCCAGCCGACGCAAAAAGGTGGAGAACCTAAATAACAGGGCAGAATGGTGATGGGCCGAAATCGCCTGATTTGCTTTGTCAATTTGGGCTCATCAGCCGAAATTAATCACAAAATTGCCGCCACAATGACACTTACATCGTCCGACTTGTACGAGATAGCTTCGCCCGAAGACCGTCTCGTCGCGGCCGATCCCTCACATAGTAGAGGATAAAGGGTCGAAGCAATGATTTCATCCACTTTGTCGTCAGCAAGATTCTCTGAGCAACAGCTATCACAGTATGTTTTGACAGATCCGGTAGCATCAGCAAATGGCCACTTACCTTCACTGGAGGCAGTTCGCTGTTTCTTATTAACAGACCAATATCTCGAGACGAGTTCAGCGGCAATGATGGGAGAATATTTCCGTAGAGCCGCTGTGGGCACAGTACGTGTGAGCTTCTCCAGATACCGCGCCAAATAAGGGATCCTAACACAGTGAGCGAAACTGACAGCGTTGAGATATATTTTCGCTCTCCTCAGCTGAACTAAGGTAGAAGCTTACATTCGAATTCGGGTGGAAGTGTACTAAAACCAATAAGAAATTCCCAAAATTTCTCAGAATTTCCATACTGTCACCAACACATGAGTTGACCTTGTGCATATTTTCCCACACTGGCGCCTACCAGCTAAGTTCTTCCTCCTCATCGCGTTTCCTCTTCCCCGCCCTTCTTAGTGCACTTGTTGCTCGAACGCCGACGAGTCCAAGCGTGCTGACTAGCCATTCTGGTGGTGCCGACGACAACACCGACCACAACAAGGCGAAGCCATACAGGGCTGCATCCTCACTGAAGCAATGAAAAGTGATAAGTATGGGGTTCAACATTTTTCTCAAAGGAAAATATTTCAACTCTTCCCTCCATAGATTTTCATAGAGCCTATCCGCAATGCTCAACGGTAAACAGCGAGTCCATAATAAGCCTCTCTACCTCAATCGACGAACCTCGCAAGCTACCTCCGGAGTCTAGCTCAACGCTTCTACCCTACCTGGAATCGTCCTCAAGAAGGTGTATGCCCAGTCTGATCATAGCACCGTAGAGGCCGCACACGATGACTCCGTTCGGCGGGATGCTGGGGACCAAGGCATGATGAAGAGATAGGAGCACTCGACACCTGATGGGAAATACAGTGCGTTTCAATTTGATATGCAAATGTGTGTTATTCTCCGAGATTAAACTATATCGCATAAACAATATTAACATTGCTATGAACATGTGATGTGATAAAAGTAACCTTTCGAGACTGTGATAGCGACAAGTTGTTCACTATCATTAATCCCGGAATAGAAAACGACGCACATTCTCCACATTTGCATATCACATTGGCAAGCACTGTATGATCGCTTTCCTCAGCTGAACTCAGGAGTACTAGTTATAAAATTCTAATCGGAAATTTTCATCAGCGTTTTCATATCGCCACAAACATGTAGTTGACAATGTGCATAGTTCTCCACAGTGATGAAAATATCCGATTTACGTTCGCCCACGCTTGATTCGAAGCTCACCTTTCCGAACAATAAGTATCATCACCAAGCACAGCAATTCCTCCCATCACTGCTTCCACATCCCTAGCTGTAATTTGGTGATATCTAATCCGACAAATTCAGTCGCGAGTGGTAAAGACTCTCTCACAGTGTTTCCTCTAGGACGACTGACACTCCGTAGAGTATAGCCGACACGCGAAGGTCTGTCCCCTCAGTACTCGTAGATTCTCGCTGGAGACGGGGAATCTGACGAAATTGGCGAAATTGAAAGAAGCGTTGTCGTTGTGTGGAAATTCATTATCTTTATTATTTTCTCCACTTTACGTAAAACGGGTGAAACTCCATTGATAAGAACATTAATACGCCATTTTTATATGAAGACCAGACAGTTCGGATCTGATTGCTTTCCTATACCAAAACTCACCATCACATTCATCAACACACTCCTCGGGGAACGGTAACTGCTAACTCTAGCCAAGGCCACCCAGCATTTATCTACAGTAGTGCCAATGCTCGAGCTTCTACCAAAACCTGATACCACAATGATGATGATTTACCCAAAATATGTGCAAAGTTAACAAAAAATTTATCAAAATTTCCTCAGAAATTTTCCTTATTGTCACCAACACACACAGTTGACCACGTGCATATTTTCCCACACTAAATCGTGCGTTTTAGAGAAACATCTAATTCGAGAAATCTCACAGGAACATACTTTCACCCTGCTGTAGTGGAGTCCAGCGGAGCGATGCAAACATACGTGTATGATCGCCATTTGCTATGGCACTCTAATCTAGTCCATACCGCAACCGCCTCTACCAATCCAGTTCATAGTTGGCATTCCCGAAAACAATGGAGTTTCACCCGTTTTACATGAAGTGGCGTAAAACTCCGTGAAAAACGCGATATTTGCGCCTTGCAATACTCGCGAACTAATGTTGTTTATATCACTAGGGTCAATAAACTCCAATAATTTAGCTCACCTTCAGAGGCTTGCCCTTCCTTAACTGAAAGCAGAAGCCCTTTAGGCAACCACCACATG